CTCTTCCCAATTGCAATTACCAGCCACTGGTATGCAGAAACATCATACAGAGTAGGTAGACCAGAACCATCGTAACTTGTAGCCACTGATATTTGCTCAATCCTCTTTTAAAGCCTTCCAAGCTGGCAGCCTTGCATCTATCTAGCAGGACACTGAAAGGAGGAGAGCTTGTTATGGGTGTAGGAGCCAAGTTCTCATTTAGTGCTGCACTAGAGCGGAGGATGGTTTCTGTAGAGTTATGTTTATTATTATTTATCACTAAGATTTATATCACACCTTTCCAATAAAATACCCAAAGCCAAAGCAGCATATAGTAGACATAATAAAACAGGACAGACAGTATCAAACAACATCAAGGAAATCAGGTTTCTTGTTGTCAACTTCAGCCTTTGTCAATGTTACTTGTCCCAGCACTATAAAGTCATAAACTCCTTTTCAAACACTGGCTTCCCAGAAGACATTACCCAAGTTCCCTTCATGTATTATTTTGTGCTAGCGACTATGTTCAGTGTGTGCGAGGCTAGAATTTATGACCTTCCAAAAGTATTTATTTTATTATGTTTATAATCTGTCATTTCTCCAGGGAACTTGTGGCAACATACATGGTTCTTTTATCCTCACAGCAACCTTATGAAAAATGTTTGGGCTGAGAGATAGGGATTGCCTCATGGTTATCCAGTGAGGGGGGATCTGCATCTGGGTCTCCCCAGTCCTAGTCCAACCATTTAACCACTCTGTCTTCCCACTTGCCATTGATTTTGCTTTAATGAAGGCAACTTTATAAGCTGTCACCTTTATGCAAGAACACACACCACGGTGCTTCTGCAGAAGCACAACTGGACACCTTCCTCTGCCCCAGCTGCAACAAAGCATGTCTCTCCTGCATTGGTCTCTACATCTACAGCAGGCACTGCAACCTGCCAGCAGTTTGACCTCACCATCAAAGGTGCACTCCTCCATTGTCTCCCAAGACAGATGGATGCCAACCAACCAATCAACATAGGAAGCTCTCTTATACCAGGTTAGACTACTGGCCCATCTAGCTTAGTAGCGTAGGCCCAGGGTTTCAGACTAGGGACATTCCCAGCCCAACCTCGATATGCTGGGAACAGAACCTGGGACCTTCTCCATGCAATGCAGATGCTGCACTACAGAGCTATGGCCCTTCCCCATGGTTTGCTTCAGATGAGCTTTAATTATTGCAGTTGGCAAGTAGACATCCCCATGATCGTATCACTTTTCCATTACTGTCAAACAGGCAGTGTGAAATGTCATTGTTTCCCCACCACCACCAATTCAATTTATGACAATATCTTTTGTTTCTACCTATCACAAAAGAGCCATGGACTTTGGGGTTTGTGGACAGCACCTAATGTATTTTATAGATGAGCTTTGCTACGATATGCAGCAACTTCATCACATAATTAATTTACATATAAGTTACACATTGTCAAGTTCGTCTGACTTAATATTGGTTCAAGCTTAATTACAAATGTAGAGGCTGTTGAATTTTGTTGGCATTTTTTTCATTTTGTTTTTTGACAACCAACCAATCAGGATTCAGAAAATCCAGATGGCAACTACATAGCATACTATTAGCAGCCCGGCTGCATCCCAAGACAGTCCCTGCTAGATATTTCTTTTACCTCATTATAAAAGAAGTGAAAACAGACAGGAATTCTTGGTTTTCAAACCACAGTACGTGATTCTTCTAATGGCCAGGTCAAAAAAAACCCTCAACAATAATGCATCAACATACCAAAAGGATCACATGACATTTGTGAGGTTAGATCAAGTATTAAGTGAACAGAGGGAGCTTATTTACAATCTGTTAGACTAGGCTCCCATGGCCCTGTCACTGTTCACTGGAGATGGGCCTGAACCAAAACCTCAGGCCTATTCTGAACTGTGTGTGAATTCAGATCCTCATCATGCAAAACAAGACGGTTGGCAAGGGTACTTTCCCATCTCCAGGTGCACAGAGTACGCTGCAAGGAAGAAGGAATAATCTTGTGGTTTTGGCTGATGCCTGGGAGCCAGGAGACTCGGGATTATTCTTCGCTCTACCCTAGCCCCTGTGAATTTTAGGCACTCGGATACTTCAGGACGAAAAACACACATAATGAGAGTAAAGAAGTGAAAATACTCAGCAAGTGAACCTTGTTTTAATAATAAAAGCAGGGGAGGAACTGAGTTATATTTAACTATAATGGCATATACATATTGTATCTTTGGCACATCCCAAGGACTAAAATTAGTGAAACATGGTACTATATCTTGATATGCATTTGTTTGTAGTAACTTCTATAAATATTGTTGCCACTTCCATGGGGAGAAGTGTTGTCAATTTATCACTGCTGGCTAGAATTATTTTCTCAGCTGTGGAGCAGGTTAATTGTGGACACTAATAGAGAGGAATGCAGGGTAAACATTCCTTATACCATTAATGTATGTCATTATTTTAGCAGCTGTATGTTACCTTATTTACTGTCACACTAAGGTCATGCTCATTACTTTAAAGGTAGAGCAGCAAGCAAGTGAACACATTTGCACGGTGCAAATTCGACAGGCAAACTTTTAGCTGTTAGGATTCCACTGACGAAGAGAGGCTAATGAAAAGTCAATGAGAACTAAAGGCTTAATAGTTCACAGCCTGTGCCGTCTTAAATTCAAAACGACTTTTAAAATTACATCTGCCAATATTTAAGTTTATTTGACAAATTAAAGCTGCAGTTCTATCCATACTTATCTGTAAGTCTTACTGAACTCAACAGGACTTACTTTTGAAAGACATGCATAGGACCACACGCTAATTAATTACATTATTGTGTACCGCTTTATATTTCAACAGAAATCTGCAAGCGATTTACATATACCAACAAAAATCCGTTTTAAAAAACACAATGGAGTGGGAGTGGTGACAACCCCACATCAAACACTAAGCAATAGTTTTGCTGCTAATTATTATTATTTACACATTTTAAGCAAGATAAGTAGGCAACAACAAATATCTCAAAACAATGGGGAGAAGTAGAGATGTAAAAAAAAAAAGGGAAAGCTTTAATACCATATCAGAAATGTTACCCTGATTGTTGGGATGAAAATGAACGAACGGCCTACCACTATCACAGCACTGTCTCATGAACTGGCAGGACAACAGGGAGGAGAAGGAGGAAGATTCTGGTGAGGGGTGCAGCCAGGACTGAGACAGACTGGGGCAAACTGGGGATGGGGAAGGAGAGGTTGGTGTAGGAAGTACTCACAGGATGATGGAGGAGATGGGATCAGTGAACAGGAACCAGAGCAGCAGGACTCATCACCAGACCCAGAGAGGACCCCATTTCCTGAACACGGTAGGCTCTGGGGTGTAGGGGGCAGCGGGTGGGGAGCACCAGGAGGCCGAGGCAGGCAAGGGCCCACAGCCCAGCTCCCTAGCTGGCTAGGTGGGGCTTGCTAGCTCCAGGAGGAAGTGTGTGATTCCTCAGCTTGAGTAGGCTTGGAACAGGTGAGGGTCATATGCCTCATCAAGCCCAGGTGCTGCAATCAGCATGCAAAGTATAAAAGGGCAGCAAAGCTGAAGTGCTGTGTCTTCTCAACTGCCCATGTCATAGCTGTCAACTTTTCCCTTTTCCTGTGAGGAATCCTATTCAGAATAAGGGAATTTCCCTTTAAAAAAGGGTAAAGTTGACAGCTATGGCCCATGTTGATGGACCTCAGCTTGGATGTTCTGGAGGACTTTGGACATGTGGATACGTGGACTGCGGACTTTCACACTTTATGTGCATTGCTGCCTTCACACAACAGCTGATATTGTCTATTTTTAACTGATATTTCTTTTAAGGAGTGATTTATATGAACTAGGTATATGCATTCAACTTGGGGGGAGGGGGAGTTGTGCTATACCAGCTGTTGTGTGAAGGCAGCAATGCACATAAAACATGAAAGGCCCCTCGACACCCAGGATACACCGCCTGAAAAGCAGTGGACCTATATATGTACACAAAATTTTATTGATATATTGTAAGATACAAGGTAGTATTATATTATAAAGGAAACACTAACTGTTAAGGCGGGTTATCTAATAGATTCTCCCTCCCCGTATTATAGATGTGAATCTAATGTTAGTGGCCTCCCTGGGGTCATACAGAACATCCACTCTGTTTGCATTTTAATGTGAAGCTATTTCATTTGCATTTCTCAAATGAATACACAAACAGAAAAAAGCAATCATTTAAAACTTTGCTTTTCTGCACATTTTGCAATACAGTGCTCCAACCAAAACAATGCTTATATTAGTGTGCATTACACTAGGCAAGATTACATACAAAACTGTGTTTAGTAGATGAAATGCACATAAAAATATGTACGCATTTTCATGCGGACATTTAAAGAGCAATTATAAACTAATGTGGAAATGGGAAGAACGGCAATGAGAGAAGTGAGAAACTCGGGGAAACTGAAATTGACAGATTTTATGCATGTCAAAATTCAGAATCCACATTGATTTTTCAGGAAAGCTAAAGACCAGATTCCTGCTTGGTTGTCTTATCTTTTTGCAAGATCTACTGGAACTAGCATTCCAGCATAAATGTTCTTTGTACAGATTTTTTCATGATTAAACTTTTCATCATTCAATACTATTTTTATTGAGATAATGACAGTGTAAATAACTACAGGCAGTGACCATTTTATGTGCATCTCATTGACACATGAATGTGCACACATTGCCATGAACCTGAAAGTGGCTGGGAAAGGGGGCATAACGGGGTGGCATGGACTTATGTGCATTCCACCAATGCATGTGGGGGCCAGAAATGCAACCCCTGCTTAAACAGGGAGTTGCCTGTACTGCAATCTCACTATATTCGCTAAATGAGTGGCTGGGCTCCTGTGCATTTCAACGGGGCTTCTGCAAGAAACAGCCCTGAACTTACGAGGTCAATGAACTTTTTACAAACGAAACACACTTCTAAATGTTAATATTGATGGAAACATTCATATTTATGTGTTCTACAGAGCATTTATTTCCATTTTGGTTAGCATTTATTTCCATTTTGGTTAGCGTAAGTTATATAAATCACAAACAGTTCTTTCTGCATCAAAGTTGCCTGCATGAATGTGGTAAGTATCAATTCTGTACTTTTAGTATAAAATCAGATATATGGTGGGTTAGCTGTGTCAACCATTGCTATTAACTAATATACAAACCTGGGTAATATAAATTATTTGGCATTATAAAAAGCAACTCTGTTAAGTACAAAAATCTGCTAACATCTATAACTTATAAAATGCAAGAAGCTCAGTATTACAACACGTCTTTCTCTTTTACAGTATTTGCATATGTAAGCTGAGACACATGACACATTATACAGAGGAGGATAAAGAATACTGAACACATTAAAGATGTTCAAAAAGGCTAGTACTTCCAGAAATATTAGCACAGGATATAAACATGGAAACAACACAGTGAGAATCTCAGAACTGATAGACAAAAGGAGTCACTGACAGTTGTAAAGAATTTGATGTCTGTCAGAAGCCTGTCAAAACAGCTCCTCTTGGATACAGATTGATCATGTTTATATTCTTACTGTCAAACTAGTATAGACAGTCACAGGTCTGAGGAAAAACCCAGCGCAGGCGCGCGCGCGCACACACACACACACACACTCTCATGCACACACATACATCAGTGTGACAGATGTCTATAAGGATCTTACACCACAACATCTTTCATAAATAAAAGAAAAGAGACAATGTTCATTTTTTAATGAATTTCCACAGATTCTTAGGGATGGGATTCATTTCATCTGTATGATGAAGGCCAATGAAGTGCCTGAAGAACTGTGTTGCTGTTTAATGTACATTCAAGATCAGTTTAGATAGAAACATGGCATTAGTTCATGAACTGTGTTCTTTTAATGAAGAGTTTAAACGCATCAAAGTTCTACTGATGTTTAAATTCAGCTACCACACAGAACCACCAAAGAACAATGAAAAAGAAAGGGCTTCTCTGCCACCCTTTTGCAGATATGAGGTATTGTTTCACCCTGCAGTATGAAATGCAACATGGAGTTATCTAAGAATTTTCACCAGAAATGTTTGATAAGTGATATTTCCCTGTGTACTAGGCAGGGGCAAGATGAGGCAAGTCAGGTGGCACGATCCACAGGGGCCGCAATGTAGACCTTGATTTCCTCCCTTGTTCCTGATGTAGATCTTCACTCACCCCTTCTTCCCTGGTTGGGAGCGGTGCCATTTTATGGTTTGCTTCAGGTGCCAAAATGTCTTGGGCTGGCCCTGTCATTAGGTATTGTCATAAAGGTTCTGCAACCCATCCTTATGCATTTTAACCATAAGAACCTTCCAGTGGGTTCAATGGGGCTTTCAAGAAAGTGAGCATGGGGTTCCAACCCTAGTCTGTATTTACACTACAATGCGGCTAAAGCTTTATTTTCTGTTTTGCTAGTTCAGCTCTTCTTTTGAAGCCCTTAATAGTAGTGGATGGTCCCTGTAAAACTAGAAGGCAAACCCCTTTTAACAGTTTGAGGCACATCTACTGGTGAAGACACTCCTTTGAACTAATAGAAATTGGGATCAGTTAAGGGGTAAAAAGCAAGTGAGAATATTGTTCCCTCTTTGTCTGCACATCCCCTCTTACTTGCACATTTTAAAATGCACACATAAGCCTCAACTGTGTCAAAAATAACATATCAGGAACCACCTGGGCCATGCCGCTGATTTCTTTCAAATAAATTAGGCAGCTATTGATCGGAGATAAATCATAACACTTTTTAAAATATTTGAAGCTCCAGTCTCTATAAAAGGTGCATTTCAAGTTTGAAATGGGTACAATATGATGGCAAAATGAATACATACCTTTAGTTGTCAGAATTTCTGGCCCTCCGATTGCTTTCAGCTCTCTTTCTCCACTTTGCTCCAAATCCTATTTAGCAGTCACCCGACTACTAAATAATGTACCATGTGGCATTCTTCACAAGCAACTCACAGCTTATGACAGATGTTACCCAAAAAAATTCCAACGTTGTTTATTAAAAAATAAAAATAAAAAACGTAGGTTCACAGATCAAAGTGCATTATATATTGAGAAATTGTTTGATACCCTTCACTTTTCAATAGCATCTTAGAGTAAATTATACAAAAATTACAAGTGGAAGATATTCTGCATTTAACTTTGGAAATTAAAACAAAACAAAGCTAAAAATACAGAAAGATGCCCAAATGCTACAAAACCACCAATGCTGCAATATTTTACCAAGATCTATTCCACTCCATACTTGGGTAGAGGAATATAATATTCAACATTCAAAAACAACTTATGAAAAGCTATCCACTGCTGTATTATGCAGGAGTGGTTGGTGGGGTGAATAGCCTCTTGACAGTGGTGCCACTGCCACTTACTGATGATGATGATAGTAATAATAATAATTTTATTATTTATACCCTGCCCATCTGGCTGGGTTGTCCCAGCCACTCTGGGTGGCTTTCAACACATGAACACACCTACTGGGATGGAATGTGGGTGAGGCATGATGGCAGTGAGGACACAGTGGTGCAGGCCTACTGGCAGGCCCAATCTGGTGCTTCCACTGTGCACCTGCACTGTTCCCAACTGGCTGATGCCTTGTCCTTCCCCCATCCTGGTACGCACAAGCAATGCCACTGCCGAGAGCCCAGTTTCATAGTGCTGCACCATTGACTGCTACAACCAAGGCAGTATTGAGCTCTGAAGCAGTCTGCGGGCTTCAAGACTAGGTAAACCTGGGGAGAGAAAGGTATACATTCCTGGAACTAAATGGAGTGCTGTCACATATAACAAAAACAACAACAAAAACATACTATGCTCTGGGTGAAAAGCTTTCTACCAACATTCAGTCTGGTACAGCTTGGATCCCCTGAAAATAGGGGTATTTAAGAAACACAGACTTTTGAGTATAGTTCCAAGACACTGACTTTTAAAAATAAAAAATAATTCCATGGCCTCTAGGACTTCTAGCATAATACTAGTTATATAGAATACATCCAGTGATTATTTAAACCTGCTTATTGTTCATGCTCCGTTATCTGTACTAGAAGTTAGCCCCGATTTCACCACAATTTTACACAATCATCAGCTTAACTGACATCTACAATTTACAAAGGCTATTTTTTGAGCACTTGAGATGCTTCCAAATTGATGGATAACAAAATACTGATATGCCTATTGTCATTGCCTCACCTGCTGCTAAATCAATGGTTCGTCTCTAAAAAGAATTAAAACTGTAAATGTTAAAAGGTAGGTGTTTGCATTCAATAAGGCTTCTGACTAGTCTTTGTATTAAAAATGTGTTGCTTGGCTTCAGAATCTACTGTGGTTCTCAGCAACTATAATTTCCAGATAGATTGTGTGCTCATCCCGCATAATTACACAAGTAATGGCCAGAGACCTGCAAAACATATTTTCTTTTCAGGAACATCACTAGATCTTTTAGTATCCAGTTACAGATTCTTTTAAATTTTGTATATGCAGCAAAATTCTGCATTAAGGTTCTTCTAACAACAATGCATAAAAATGGCATACGGTACACAGAATTGTTGGTAAACTAAAGGTTCTCTCCATTTCAGCATAGACAACATTACTGAAAAGAATCACAAACCTGATTCACAGAACTTATAAACAGGCTTTCCAGGCTAAATGCAAAAATATATTTATTGCAAGCTCTAACACAGTCTTCTGTATACCAAACCATAATTCAGCTGAAGGCGAGACAAACAGGAACAATGCTGTGTGAGAACCATCTGAGTTTTCTTCACATTCTTGAAGGCTCAAGGTCTCTGTCTTCTAGTAAATTTATCAGCAGGCCAAAGCTGTCTTTTACTGCTTCCATATCATCCAAGGAGCAGGGCTTAAGTATCCAGCGTTTTCCTCGTGCAAGTGGTTCAAGTTCCAAATACTTTTTGATCTGTTTTTTAAAAAAGCAACACGAAAAATCAGTTTTTGTATATACTTTTCGGCTTACTTTTCTTTTCAAGACAGAAGGTGTTGGAAGAATCTTGAACGCTCGTTTTTAGAATTACTTTACAGCTGTTCTTGAAATAGGTTATATGCAGTGACATGCTGGTGTTTTTGTTGGGGGTGAATGATCTGCTGGAAACCACCATTCTAACAATACATTTAGAAGCACAGGAAGATCTTTCAAAGAATTAGATTTCATTTATGATACAGGCCACCCCTGATTATGAAACACCTTATTTCATCTTCAGAATTAGAACTTAACTTCTCACCTGCAGTACTGTTGTTGAAAAATGCAAAATATTTATCAACAAGAGAAATATATTTATTGAAAATATATTGAAGAAGAGAAAATGTATTTATCATGGTAACTTGCAGTGCACCCATTTCCTTGACAACAACATTGGAGGTGTTGATCATACGTAATCAGATGTTTCATGTGGATGACAGTCATAGCATCATAAGTAAAAGCTGAATAAGACCCTTCAACTATTCCTCTGGACTTGTAACTTTTAAGCCCCCGGCCCACCTTTTAATTTTACACAAAATAGCAGCTAAAGATAAAATGAACGGCTGTAGCGACAACATCTGTATTTGTAACTATATAATGAATAAAAGGGACGCGGGTGGCGCTGTGGGTAAAAGCCTCAGCGTCTAGGGCTTGCCGATCGAAAGGTCGGTGGTTCGAATCCCCGCGGCGGGGTGCGCTCCCGTCGTTCGGTCCCAGCGCCTGCCAACCTAGCAGTTCGAAAGCACCTTCGGGTGCAAGTAGATAAATAGGGACCGCTTACAAGCGGGAAGGTAAACGGCATTCCGTGTGCTGCACTGGCTCACCAGATGCAGCTTGTCACGCTGGCCACGTGACCCGGAAGTGTCTCCGGACAGCGCTGGCCCCCGGCCTATAGAGTGAGATGGGCACACAACCCTAGAGTCTGGCAAGACTGGCCCGTACGGGCAGGGGTACCTTTACCTTTTTAATGAATAAAAAGAGTTCATTATATTTTTAACAAGTCTGTATGTGAATGAGCAAAGTATCTTATGAATGACTTGTGGCTCAGTCAGTAGAGCATGAGACTCTTAATCTCAGGGTGATGAGTTCGAGACCCAAATTGGGCAAAAGATTCCTACATTGCAGGGGGTTGGACTAGATGACCCTTGTGGTCCCTTCCAACTCTGCAATATTCTATGATTCTATTATTCTCAGAGCAATAGTCCACATATCAATGGATTTCATTAGCCTCACTTGTAATAGCAGATACCAAAAATCTTTTTTACATCTTGTTCAAAACAATAGGAACCCATTTCATTATTTCAAGCTCTATGGATAGTGATTAAGACCATTTAGGAGAATAATGCCTTGACAGGCATTTCTCAAATATTTGTACCAGGCACTGAGTGTATGCAAGGGTTCCCGGATTACCGCATTTTTCGCTCTATAAGACGCACCAGACCACAAGACGCACCTAGTTTTTGGAGGAGGAAAACAAGAAAAAAAATATTCTGAATCTCAGAAGCCAGAACAGCAAGAGGGGTCGCTGCGCAGTGAAAGCAGCAATCCCTCTTGCTGTTCTGGCTTCTGGAATAGCTGTGCAGTCTGCATTCGCTCCATAAGACGCACACACATTTCCCTTTACTTTTTAGGAGGGGAAAAAGTGAGTCTTATAGAGCAAAAAATACGGTATAATCTAAATATATATAGTACTATATTTTAGGATTGCCATATTTCAAAAAGTAAAAATCAGAACTCCCCCAAAGTAGTAGTAGTTGTTGTTCTTTTTACAAAAATGCCAAAAAACCCATGAAATTTCGATTGACTTGCTTAAAATCCAGGAAATACCCCTTGGATGTCAATTCTGCATTTGAAATCCCTGTAATGTCTGGAAAAATCTGGACCCATGGCAGACCTATGTATCTATAAAAATCTAATATACCTAAAAAGATATATATAACCAAGATACAATCTATATGCAATATTTATTTACTTGTAAAGTGATTTAAAATGGAGAAGATTAATTTTGTTAGCTAAAGTATGAATTTAATTTTTCCTTTAAAGACATACTTCAGATGAAATCCTTGATATTACCATTTAGAAAGGCAAGAGAAAGACTTTTATTTAAATTTAGATTTTTTTTATGATAAACATAATTTGAACACTAATGAAACAAATGGCAACAACAACATTCATCTAAACCACTTCCTTGGGTTATTAAGGAATAATAATTTAGAAGCAGCTTGAAAAAATGCATTGTTAGAAGAGATACACAAGAATATGCTCCCTTTCTCCTATCTATACACTTATGATATCTTACCAAATTATCCCTTCTACGTCAGTTTTATTGTGGCTAAATTAGCAACAACAGTTAGACAATGGGATTTGGATCTCTCTCTCGCTCTCAAAAAAAATTCCTATCATAGTTAAGGCAAAGTATAATAGTATATCATTAAAAATGTAACCCACTTAGGTAATAAATTCCATAATGCTATTCATACATACACTACTAAGAAGCTGAATTGAACTATAATTATAGGAATGCATGCTATGATTTTGGCTAGCTGAAAATGAAGGCTTTGCATGGATGATAGTATATTAACCGCATATTCTGAAGCAAAACGAATGACCACTGTGGCTTGTTTCAGCAAACGCAATCTGACAGCTATATTCAGAGAGGAAGCAAAAGCTGTACAAAGCATAACAAACCACGGATCTAGCGCAGCCACTTGATAACAAAGCCAGCTGGTGCTAAGCTGACAAAAATGGCTGAGTAACCTGAGATTTTCACAAACCTCTAATGTAAAGAATGCTTAGCACACACACACACCCCCTCCTGGAAGAGCAGCGTTCTTTGCCTCACTAATTATACAGGGGCCTGTATTTACCAAGGTACCTGCTGGAATTAAGAATTTTCAAACATATTATTTGAAAATACTAAATATTAATTTGTTTATTCTTTTACAGAGAGCAATGACTAAAAGAAAACCTTTTAGACAATCAGCATTCATTCTCATAATCAACCAGAGCCCAAATTTTTGCTTTTATTAATCTGACAACAGTACCCATGTTGACAGCCTAACTCATGGTAGTTGCTGCAACAAGAGGAAATTAATAATTTCATGACATTCTTTGATGTTCCAAACTCTAGTAATATCACCCCTGCTCTTATGAACTTTTTTTTTACCCTGCGCGCGCACACACACACACACACACACACACACGAGAGAGAGAGAGAGAAAGTGACAGTTTCTTTCTGGACACAGTGATAAAGAGAATTGGTAGTACATCTAAGTCTCCAATAAAGCAGTTAAAAGATTCTCCAGCTTCACTCTACATTGGAGGTATAGTCATGGGAAAAAGTGCACTTTCTTTGAATTCTGTGGTTTTACATATCAGGACATAATAGCAATCATTTGTTCCTTAGCAGGTCTTAAAATTAGGTAAATACAACCACAGATGACTGACACATGACATATTACACCGTGATATAATTTATTTAACAGAAATAAAGATGAAGAAATAATGTGTGAAGAACTAAGTACAGTGGTACCTCGGGTTACATACGCTTCAGGTCACAGACTCCGCTAACCCAGAAATAGTGCTTCAGGTTAAGAACTTTGCTTCAGGATGAGAACAGAAATCGTGCTCCGGCGGCGTGGCAGCAGGAGGCCCCATTAGCTAAAGTGGTGCTTCAGGTTAAGAACAGTTTCAGGTTAAGTACGGACCTCCGGAACGAATTAAGTACTTAACCCGAGGTACCACTGTACACCCTTTCTGCTCCCATAGGAATTAAGAGACTAAGTAGCAGGCAGGGACCAAAGTGGAGATGTTTGGCCATAATGCACAGCACCAGGTTTAGCAAAAACCAAACACAGCACAAGAGCACAAGCACCTCATACCAACTGCCAAGCACGGTGATGGAGGGGTGATTATCTGGACTTGTTTTGCAGCCACAGGACCTAGCACATGTAACTATATCCCCATTAGTCAGCATAACTGAATATTGTAAATAAAAACCCTAAATGAATGGCTCACTTCCTCCTTTCAGTACTGAATGATAAAGACTTCTGAGAAGGAAAGTCATTTTTTGCAAATAATAAAAGGAAATCATTAGAGATGGCAAATCATCTTAGAAAGGTGTGGTAACAACAATCTGGTCTTTGCCTGTACTGGTCACTGAGCCGAGAGGGGGGGCACCGCAACAATGAATTAGAATGGAAGGCAAGAGGTGGGGAGGATGCGCCCGATGTTGGTACTGCACAGGGTGCTGCTGAAATGTGAGAGCCCAAAGTCCGCCACTGATGTCAGTGCTTTAGGTATAGTTGCTGCTATCAGCATGCAAGATCAATGGAAGCTGATCCCTGTCATGGGTGTGTGTGTGTGTGTGTGTGTGTGTGTGTAAAACAGCTCTCATTTTAACTACATGTACACTACCACCCCAGTTTTACTAACTCTGCCAACGTTGCTAAAATTGCCCTGCTCTATTTGCTAGTTGCCATTTTATAACGTTACCTAATGGATAATGACAAATGGCACATGCGTTTGAAACATTTGCTCCCAACTGGATTGTAATTGTTTATTCCACTGTCTTGATCCAGAGCATACCGCATTTACTGCATGGAGGGGACAAACTGTGCACTTGGCAATTATTCTTCAATTGCAGTGAATGGAGATACTCACAAATGTAGGATAACTATGGATACTGGAATTCCTTTACCCAAAGCAATCTTACCATGTGCAGTACATTTTTTAAAGCCACAAAACCACACATATACACAACGAGTTGGATCCAAAGAAGAATGACTGGAACTCTTCTCAAGCAATGGGGGTTTCCTGGCTATAGCCCCTGAACCTGCTCAAACACTCCTGGGGATCAAGGAACCCTCTGATATGGGAGGAGGGGTGAGACACAGGGAGCTGGAGGAGGAAATCAGAAGAATTTGGCAGGGATCCCTTGC